AATAACTGACATCACTGTCTGAGTAACTGACATCATTGTCTGTCTGAATAACTGACATCACTGTCTGTCTGAATAACTGACATCTATTTCTTTTTCCAACCCCCCCAACCCCCATCCAGAGGACAAATCCTGTCACACAAGTCAACAGTAGCCTCTATACGGCCCATTCTAAACTCTCCCTGTTTTGCCAACCTTCTCTCTGACACCTACTTTCACATTGTGTATTTTCATTCATTTACTCATTTAGCAAAGTCATTAATTACCGTGGCAGGCAGTTATTACATTTTCTAAATGCTTTTCTTTAGGGGGCCCTTTAATCTCTCATCTAACCCAAGAACTTCCTAACTGGCCTCTAATCCTCTCCACACCCAGCCCACCTGGCCTCATTCTGATGCTCTCTCTCCATCTTTGAAGGATAAAATCTAGCACCTAGCACACTGCTGGAGGCTCTGGGGTCTTGACTTGAATCACACGGAGTTTCCTTTTTCTCTAGCTTCACCTCCTGCCTCAGGTGCTGTTTCTCAGCGACCCATGATCTGAACATTTGCTCCCGTGTGATTACCCAGAAGCCCCTATCAGGCTTCCTGGGCTTTGCTCATCCATATTTTTCTTTCATTTTCTTTCTTGCTCACCAATGGGAAAGACAGCTTTGGTGCCAAGATTCCTTCCAGATCCAGATATCGACACCACATGCAAAAATAATAAAAAGAGTCTCTGACTCTTCCTGTCTCCAGGCTGAGTGGAGAAAGTGAGTTTGGAAGGGTGCGGAGTCATCGAGGGTGGTGATGGTGGGAGGCCCAAGAAGATATATCAGAGACAGTGAGCTTGGCAAGTGTACAGAATGATGGACAGAAGAAAGCAGAGAAAACCCATCCAGCTTTTTTTTTTAATTAGTGCAATTGATTCTGGGAGAAACAAACTGCTTTACCCTGCCTTCTGCCGAAGGAGAGAGATACAAGAAGACAGAGGAGTAGACTGTATCTGGTTCAACATCCTTGAGGTGGAGGCCCAGAAGAACCTGTGTTCACCTCACCTGAGAGCCAAAGACAAGGGGTAGTGTGTGCTGAAGGAGATACTTACCCTCTTTTCAAGGTCTGTGTCACTCAGACATGCACAAGTATGAGAGACAACTCTCTCAGGTGGGGCGTGTTAAAACCAGACATTTGGCGCCTTGAACGCACTGCTAAAGACACTCATGTACTCATGTGAAATGAAAGCTTTTCAAATGGACTGGAAAATGTTTCACTTGTGTTCTCTCGTATTCCTGAACCTTTCTTTCCATGGTTCAAAAGTTTGCATTGTCTAATTGCTGATTTCCATTTGTGAATGAATCAGTGTAAAATAAAATTAAGTGGCAAATCAATCTACCGAATTAATCTAGTTTTAGGCATTAATTATTCTCTCAGCCATTTTCTCTCAAACTTAACCACATGTCAAGACAAGTCCAGGTCTAACAATGCTGTGTTCATTTTTTTTCTTTTGTTTTTTTTTGGTTTTTTGAGACAGGGTTTCTCTGTGTAGCCCTGGCTGTCCTGAAACTCACTCTGTAGACCAGGCTGGCCTTGAACTCAGAAATCCACCTGCCTTTGCCTCCCAAGCACTGGGATTAAAGGCATGTGCCACCACTGCCCGGCTTGCATTCCGTTTTTAACACAGGAGCTTATATTCAGGAAGTCAACAGTCTTGAATTCTGGGGCCTACAATTTACTGTCTGTCTTAGGATTTCTGTTGGTGTGAAGACACCATGACCACAGCAACTCTTACAAAGGCAAACATTTAATTGGAGCTGGCTTACAGTATCAGAGGTTTAGTCCAGTATCATCATGGTGGGGAAGCATGGCAGCATGCAGCCAGGAGGCAGGAGTTCCACACTAGGCAAAGCTTGAACACAGGAGACCTCAAAGTCAGCCCCTAAGTGACATATTTCCTCTAACAAGGCCACACCTCTTAGTAGTGCCACTTCCCATGGGCCAAGCATTCAAACAGGAGTCTATGGGGGCCATACCTATGGGAACTACCGCACTGTGCAAAAAAAGTCTCATTCCAGGTAAACATCTCTCTCATTTTTTTCAAGTTGCTTTTTGTTTGTTTGTTTAGATAGAAAGGTTGGTAGACAGATAGTGTTTTATCTGCATATATACCTACAGGCCAGAAGTGGATACCAGATTTCATTACAGATGCTTACAAGCCACCATGTGGTTGCTAGGAATTGATTCAGGACCTCTAGAAGAGCAGACACTGTTCTTAACCTCTGAGCCATCTCCACCCCCCATCTCTCCTACTTTTTATAGGTCCTCAACCACTGTTGGACTAAATAAGTCACTGGGGCAGAAATTCCCTCCATCACTTTGTGGCATGTTTTCCCAACTGGGAAATCAACAATGCCACCCGTCCTTTATATGTAAGAGGATCACCCTGAGCGTGGCCAATGAGGCATGAATGGGGCAGCTCAGAAATTGTGTGCACTGTTCTTCTGGAGCTGTACCAAGGGACAGGTGTCTTCTTGGTTCTGTAACCAATTCCGCTAGTTTCTAAGATGTAATTATAAGATCCTGAGCCCACAGTGAAAGAAGAACCATATACCTTATGACCTCATCAAGCTATTATTTTTGAAGATATGCAGACTTACAGCTGGGTACTTGGAGGAGGAAGAAAAGGCATACTTCCTGAAAGCCATGAGCATTTCAGAGACAGAGGTCCTGAAGCCCTTGACTCCCTCCTTTAAAAAATACTTGTATATTTACTTATTTATTTTATTCTCATTTATATGAGTGTTTTGCCTGCGTGCATGTATATGTACTGTATGTGTAACTGGTACTCAAGGAGACCTGAAGGGGGTGGGTGTTACATCACATGGATCATCACATGTGTTACATCACATGGTCGTGAGCCCCCTGTGGGTACTCAGAACCGAACTTGGGTTTCCTGTAAGAGCCACAAGTATTCTTAACAGCTAAGCCGTCTCTCTAACCCCAGATGATTTTTTTGAGACTGTCTTATTATATATCCCTGCCTTGCCTGGAACTTACTGTACAGACCAGGCTTGTCTGTACTCATGGAGATCTGTCTGGCTCTGCCTCCCGAGTGCTGAGATTAAAGGCAGGCTTCACATACCCAGCCTCTCATCCTTTTGGTGTTCAACGTTACCAGAACAGTCAAAAAAGAAGTAGATAACCATGACCAGCAAACCAGCATTACTGAATTCAGAGAAGATACTTTCTCTCCCTGTAGAGGCATGCTGCCAAGCAAAAGGGAACCAGGGATACATTCTAAGGTGGACAGCTGGCTCTGGCTGAGTTTCCCCAAGAACCCAGCCCTCTAAGGCACAATGTCTTACTGCCTACTCGGACATCCAATGTTGTAGTGTTTCCCATGCATGCACAGAATGATCACTGCAGCCCCAGCCACTCAACAAGGACAGTAGAGAGTAGTGACAGCCACAAGACAGGTGGCCTGCTCGGCAGCCTCCGGCTCCCTCTTTGGTTGGCACTGGAAGAGGAATAAGATTGAAACCACCTCTGTGATTCTTCAAGGCAAGCTGGAGAAGAGCGCTCAAGAGGAGATTCTCTTGGCAAGGAGATCAGCTGAGCACCCGAGTGACTAATTAGAGAGGTAAGAGCAGTCGAAGCAAATCTCTGCTATCCTGAGTCAGAATTTAAGAGCAGGAGCTTACTCTGAATGCTGCCGTGTTGGGGGGAAGGGAGGAAGTGGGCAGAGTATAAATTTAAATAATGTATATAGCATAATTTGCATCAGGAATGAAGGACATGATTCCTTGAGGCCACACTAGGTACTGTTAGCCTTCCAGACAGTGAGGCAGGAGAAGAGAGGGAAGCTGACATGTGAGCTCTAGTGCTCCAGGGGAACAGCGGTGCTCCAGGGAGGAGCACAAAGCTTTCAGATTTCATCACAGCCTTCTGATAACACCTGAGTGCATGTTTTGCTGCAGAGAAGCTTAGAGGCCCGAACAGTCAAGCTCGCTCCTTCCCAACCACCCCAAGAGGGAAAGAGCCTGTCAGCTTCACTGAAGAAGAAAGAAAGGAAAAGAAAACAAAAGCAGAGGCAAACCACAAACCTCAGGTCGCCTTGCTTCCTATCTGTTTGAAGGCACAGGCAGAAGGGAGGTGGGGTTTATACAGAGGCTCCTTGGGACCCTCCGGATGGAAACCTGGAGGCCACAGTAGGCAAACATTACTTGCAGGGTCGTTTTAATCAGCTCGAGCAGCTCTTTGATAGGAAAGGATGTTAAGCCAGAAAGGGCTCTCTGGAAAGTCTAAACACGCAGAGGGGGAAGTATGGAACATGTGGTATCTCCTCCCGCCACCCTTCCTGTTAGGGGTGTTCACTGGGGCCCCCTCAGTCACCACAGCACAGCCAGGGTTGGGACTGGGGGGGGGTGATGAACTGTAGCACGGAGCCCACAGAACCCCAGGCTCCAGCCACTATCAGCTGCTGCCCCGGGTAGGTATAGGAAGGCTTCCTCAAGCTGGATTGGGAAGAAATGAAATAAAAGGCATAAAATTAAAGACAAGATTAATAAAACCTGCTGAAAGCAAACACTGCTGACCAACTCAGCAGCTCAAATTACGTTTACCACATTGGAAAGGGAGGGGGTAATTGAGAATGAGAAGCCCAGGCTCTGGAAAGACATCACGGGGCTAACTAACCTAACAAGGGGGTAATACCAGGAAAGTCCCCGAGTCACCTTCCCAGGAAAGGTTCAAGACAGGGTATAAAATCTGTCGGTCACATAGATAAATTTCCTTTGACAGACTCCCTGATAAGCCTAGCTCTGACTCTCAAAGTCTCTGAGCTCTGCCCAGAGCAGCAGAGACTATAGTACAAATATCATCTCCAGATGCCACCAAATTTACAGGGATTCCAACCCACTGTGTCTGGCTTCTGTCCCCACCACTCTGGCCTTGGCAGGGTTGGGACACCCAGGGTTATGCAAGGACTATCCTGTCTCGAGTCCATTTCCATTTTTGCCCCATCAGCTGATCTATGCCTAGCTATGGAAGTGTCTCTCAGTTGAACTTGTTCTTGTGTGGGGTAAGTCTGAACCTCCAGACAACGGCCAATCCATTGGATTATCTACAGGTCCCTCCAGCCGCTTCCCCAGAGACCTCCAACCTCCAAGTCTTCAAACTCCCAGTTCTCATCCCTAGCCGAGCAGGAGTCCTATGCCACATAACAAATTTACAACAACGCAGGGATTCCATCTTTAGCAGCACATGGCGGTGTGTGTGTGTGTGTGTGTGTAAATGCAGTGTGTGGAATGGACAAACTCACCACTCATGGTAGGCTTCTGGAGTGTGTGAATGTGTCACAGACTTTCCATGGAAGCCATGTGCAATACAAACCTTTGAAGAGTGGGACTCACTCCCTTGGCACTATTCAATGGGAGATGCTGATCCATTCTCTACTTGGGACATGTTGACAATGACAACCCTTCCTACACAGAGCCCAGGCTTCCTCAGACCCAGCAGTGAGTAGGTTGACGTCTTAGGGAGGAAGCGCCTGGTTTTAAGCCAAAGAAGACACTAGAAATCAAGTCCTGTTCAAACACAGGGGTAATCCTTTATGCTCAAAGGGAACAGGGTTCCACAGAATTCCTGACCTGCAAAGCCAGGCTTCCATCGCTACCCCCATCCTGCCTTCAGCTGTGTCTGCTTCCCCCAACCCCACAGGGCTCCAGGTTTGCTGTGGCCTATCCCATCTCAAGACATTCTATGGCATCCCTCTCTCCCAAGGTGACCCTGGGGAACAGTGGCTTGGAAATAGAGCCACTCTTCAGTGCACACAAACTGCCCCTTGTCAAGTTTCATTCAAGTTCCTTGAAGAACAACAGATGGCTTCTTTCAGCAAAGCAAACAAACAGCCACATGCAGGTGTGTGGCCGTTATCCTCAGAAAATCTCTACCAAGAGGGTTTGAGAGTGAGCTCCGGAACCCACGTGAAAAGGACAAGCCTGGTGATGTGCACCTGTAATCTCAGAAGAGAAGAGGCAGAGACAGACAGACCCCAGGGCTTCAGTTGTCGGCCAGCCCCACTGAATCTGTGAGCTCCATGTGAAGTGAAAAACCCTGTCTCAAGAAACAAGTGGACAGCATTGAGAAAGATCAGAGGCTGGCTTACAGCCTCAGTGCACATGCTTTAGCACGTTTATGTGTACCCAAAACCCTCCTACACCCCACACATACAGAGAAAGAAAGAACAAATGTAAGAAAGAGGTGAGGGAGAAGGAATATCTTCAGCATAGGACAGTTATGCATACAAAGACTTTTGCTTTCCCTTTGGTCACTATTTCTTTAAAGAAAGAGTGGGGTCCCATCCACCAGAATAAGACTCATTGTTAATTTGAACTAAGACACCATGCAGCAGAACCTTTTCTGCCCATTGTATTTGCGGTGGAGCTCTGCCATTGGATAGACAAGAGGTAGGCGGAGCTAGGAGTGGGGTGGAGGAAGGAACAAGGGAGAAGGGGAGAGGAGGAGAGGCAAGATGATAGATGTTACCCTCGTGTCTCTAGCTATCAAAGGAAGTTATTATTATCAAAGTTAGATATTTGGGAAAACAGTTCTAATTGTGTAGACATCTGGTGGATTGAGTATTTGCTGATTTATAAATCTATTTGGTTCATCTTTAAGCATTAAGAGTCTTCTTTCTACTGGGTACCACAAGGATGGTGTTTATTACTTGGGGTTAAGTCAAGTTGACCCATGCATAGAGCTGTGAGCTCCATGGAGCTGACCGGCGGAGGCAGAAGCCACACCAATGTCTCATGGGTCCTGGGTTGGTGCCACTGGCCAGCTGGTGTCGCCATTAGTGTGGGAACTCAGAGCAGGAACATGGCGGTCAGGCTGGGAGCTAGCTGGACTGCCCAAATTTTCTAATATCTCATGCAACAACACCAGGCCTTAAGTTTTCTCTTCATCCCTAGTTTTTAGAAACAGATCATCTACTGTTATAAAACAACTAGGGACCTGGTTACAGTTTCACCTATCTGTCCACCTACAACTCACCCATGGAGTCAGCTTTACAGAGGCACTGAAGTCCCCTGTGCCCAACCCTGAGGGTAAAGCGCAGATGGTACAGATATGATGCTCTACCTGCCTTCAGTTTAGGATTCGGCCTGCTCTTCTGGAAGAACCACACAGCAGTGTGAAGAGCTAACCTCTGCTCTCTGGCACCTCCTCATTTCTAACAGTGACTGAATTCAGCTCTAAGTTCTGGAAGGAAGTACATCAAACCGCCAACTGTGTGGCTTGGGATCACAAGGGGCTAGTGCAAGCTCCCTTCCTCCCAACCTCCAACTTTCCACAGAGAATGTGTACATGGACTCCTTCAAAGGTTTAAGAGAAACCAATAAATGGTCAAAACAAGAAAGGAAACATGTTTTCTACAACATCTCACACACACACACACACACACACACACACACACACACACACAAACGCTGGACACCGCTGACACCCACTGTCTGGTCTCTTCCATTTTTCTGCACCTGCAGATCAAGAGCCTGTATCTCTGAACTGAACTGAAGACAGGCAAGCTCCTTTCCAGGCTTGGCAGCCCCTGGGAATCTGATTGGGCACATGGCCACCTCATCTCACCTGGGTGCCCCCCTCACCTTAGAGGACTTTACCCTTCTGCCTAAAGGCATTCCTCAGTTAAAGATGGGGCCATCCCCGGGGTGAGAGCAGAACACCCACAAAGCTGCTACCAATACAAAGATCAAACTTTTACCACTCAGAAGACCTGCTCCAGCAGCAAAGAAACCTGCAGCCTGGCAACCGGAGCAGGGGGACCCAGGCTTCCTCGAAGGCCATTAACCGCCTGCTGACAGCACACTCACCTGCAGATGTAATTTGTCTTGCAGGAGTCTTGCAGATTCAGGCAGTTGGGCCTCTCTCGTTCTTCATAGGAGCACACAGGGACGATGGTCTGTCGCCGCCTCTCAGTGCAGGCGATGTCCCGGCAGGAGCAGAAGAGCATCCCGTAGCTGTGCTTGGCCGGAACTTTGTCAAAGAACTGCCTGAGGGCCTTGTGGCACTTGCGGCGGTTGCAGACCTCGTTGGACATGCTGGTGGTGCAGGGGGTGATGTAGGCAGATCTGTACTTCTTGCAGGTGTCGTCCAGATTGCAGGCCTTGGCCGCATCCAGGCAGTTGTTCCCTTTGGAAATGTGTTCCACTGCAAGGCAGAGAAAGAGCAGTGATCACAGGGCTCATGTGCAAGTGCATTTATGTACACTCCACAATACCGGAGGCCTGGCCGTCCACCGGCCATGCACACACTCTAGATAGAATTCAGGAAGTTTCAAAGCTCATAACATAATGGTCCACAACAAAGTGGAAGTTAGTATGAACAGGGTAAGAGCCTACAGTAGTCCCTAGATGTCTATGTACAGCCATGGACCCAGGCCATGGGAAGTCGGGAATTTGCCCAGCTACCAGTAAACAAGGCAACTGGAGAACTGTTTTCAGCTCCTGCTTGGTAAACGGAAATCAGGATCAAAGGAAACAGTAACAAATTACATACTTGTTCGCGATACAGTATATAAAATGATATGCTGAATGCAAGTATAATTGCCATGCAATCCTCCAGGAATATAATTATGTAATAAATGTGTATAGAACATGCTAATTACTATATGATTACAGAGTAATTACATGGTTATTTGAGCCCAGAAGACAAAATATTATGCCAGTCTCTCTAAGCAGGAAGAAGCAACTCCAGAGAATCCATGTCTAAGTTTCATCTCACAGGCCATTGGAAGAAAACCAGAATAAAGCACATAAAAATTCGCAAACCTCAATTACCACTTAAATCACCACATGCAAAATGTCGACTCTGTGAACTCTGGCTAGGACAACTCAGCTAGGATTTTGGATGGAATTTCCCCGGGCTTATATTCCACCGGCTTTAGAACACCACAGAACATATGCTGCCTTCTGCTCAAGCTTTCTATGCCCACGCTTAGAAAGCTTTCTGTCCAAGCTTTCTATGGAAAACCAGTGCTGTCCACTGTGGACTGCTCTTGTATGGTCTGGGTGAGGGTTTCCAGGAGGCAGATTCCACGACGCGGCTGCACATGCTGCCTGGGCCAATAGCAATGGAACCCGTTCTCAGGTTCGTTCCATGATAAGAATTCTCTTAGTCCGGGCAAAGCAATGTCACCGTTTACATTAAACGAATGTTATTCATTTGTTTCCTGCTGATTTCAAAGTTTGACCTTTTACCGTTTATTTGTACCGTTTTTTAAATTGTGTGTAAACAAGCGAAGGCTCTTTTTCTGTTTACAAATCTAAGACAACATTATGATACAAATAATAAGCCAGCCCATGACACCCACAGGATTTCTTTTTCTTTGGAAGTAACCCATACAACTTAACAAACACTTGACTGATGTATACGTTTGTGTTTCCTAAAGTTTTTTTTTAACGTTTATAAAATTACATAAGCGAGTAACTTTTTTCTTATTTGTGTGTTTGTGTGTGCATGTAGTATATGTTTATACATGTGCACAGATGTCTGCCTGTACACAGGGAAGCGGGAAGACAATGCCAGGTGTCTTCCTCTTCACTCTGCATCTTAGTTTTTGAGACAGGGTCTCTCACAGGACCTGGAACACACGTATTCAACTAAACTGGCCGACCAGGGGGCTTCAGGAACCTGTCTATCTCCTCTAGCCTGGCTCTGGGATCAGAGATTCTGCTGTGTGTGCTTTCATGTGTGCGCTGGGCATCTGAACTCAGCTCCCCATCCTAATGCAGCCAATGCTTTGCAGATGGGTACATCATCTGTAGCAGGAACAGCAGGGCCACCTCTAAGTAAACACCCGGGGGCCACACAGCCTCAAAAGCATCTCCTGCAGGAGGACCTAATTGAGGACTGCCTGAGAGACCAAAGATTGCTGTCACAGACAATGCCAGCCAATCAGGAACTGCTGTTTAGAAGAGATGCTTTCTTGGGACCAATGGGGAGCATTGGAGGGTATTAAAGGAACTTTTTGCAGTGCTCAGATGAGCCTGATGCTGCCTTTCTCACCTGCTCCTGGAGTCTGTGCCCTTGACTCTAGGCCACCACGTCTCCAACCCCTGAGGGCAAGTAATCCAGGAACAGGTAACATTGCCTCAGCCCAGTTTCCTGCTTCTTCTTAATGTTATGTAAAAAGCAATATTCTAAAGAAAAAGCTTTGCACAAACTGGAAACAGTAAAGTTCCTTATGTCTGAACCAAAACTGCTCAAGGCTAACTTACTTTAGCCGTAGGCTTGACTCTGCCTCCACTTCTGCTGATTCTGTTTTCTGCCACACGTAAACCTGGCTAGTACATCATCTCCTAACTGCTCTTTTACAGTCTGTGACAAATTCCAAAGTGTACAACCTGGCACAGTTGGAGGGGCAAAACCAATTTATTTCTACCTCGCAGGTCATGTGACTTCTGTCACATTTCTTACCCTTATGAACCAAAACACTTCCGCTATATTTCTCATCTCCTTGAGACCAGGAGAATCTAAACACAAGAACCCAACAGAGTGAAAACAGGCAAGCATCCAGCTCTCACTCCTTACAAACACAGGTATAACAATCTCCCCCAAATCTGAGTACTTGTTTATCAATATGTTAGGAAGGCAACCCAGCACTTCCCCAAGGATCCGAGATAAGTCTGATGCTTAAAAATCAATTTGATTCCACAGTAACAGAATTCAAGACAGAAAAAAAATACAATATTTTAGTAGGCAAAACCAAAATACATTCAGTGATTTTCAACCCTCGCTCAAAACAAATGTTCAGTAAACTAAGAATAGAAGATGATTTCCTCAGTTTGAGAAAGAGTAGCTATGACACACAGAGAAAATCGTATCTTGTAGTTAAATAATGTCCCCACCTAAGATCACGGGCAAAGGACCATGCAGACTCAGTACTCTAGTAGAGGTGTTAACCTTTGTAATAAAACAACAGAAATAAATAGAAAGCAACACACACACACGCACACACGCACACATGCACAGAAACATGCCTGTTTGCAAATGAATTCAAAAATCACAAAGAATATATGAAACTACTAGAATAACTAAATTTACCTATTAAAGATATAGTAAAATCAATATAAAAGTCAACGGCACCTCCTTGAGTACACACGTTTATTCTGTGTTATTAATGACCCTGAATCCAGTGAGTACTCTATACTCACATGTGTGAGAGTGTGTGTGTGTGTGTGTGTCTGTGGGGGGGAACACTGGGGCATGGGCAACCTACCAGTGGCCACATCCCTAAATGAGGGTGATCCTGCCTCTCTCAGCAGCCACCCTTCCCCAGTCCATGCATAATGTTGAATGGCTCGGTCTTGAGCAGGTCATAGCCATAGCTGCTGCACTGATGCGTGCAACAACCATGTCATATGCAGAATCAGCATCCCACACCACAAGGTTAACTTTTGGGCAACAAACTAGTATCTATAGGGTAAAGGGTAATGCTCCAGTATGTGCTCCACATTGTGGAATGATGAAACAAATCTAATTAACACACCCATTCCTTTTATGTACTAGCTGCAAACCACTGGGGCAATTTAAAGTGCAATTCCACTTACAAACAAGTGCCAGATAACCTATATAACAAGTAAGATAATAACAAAATAATAACAACAGGAAAAATATAACAGATAAAAACGCATGCAACTGAAAAGTTAAAAACCACTGGTGGTAAAAATTAAAGAGAATTACGAATGAAATATATATACCATGTTCATGGACCAGAAGGCCGAACACAAATAACGTCAGTTAACTCTAAGCCTTAATGCTTTAGAACTGGCGTTCACATTCTGAAATCCGCACAGAAGCAGAGAGAACACAGAGGATGAAGCTGAGATGCTCGAGTAGCTTCGAGATTTACTGTAAAGCTACAGTCACGAATGAAGTCAGTGTGATCCAGCACAGGCATGAACAGCCTGGACAGTGGATCGGAGCAGTGCTCAGCAAGGTGTCCACACCAGGTACCCATAGGTATTTGAGTTTTGAAAACAAATACTAAAGAAACCCAATGGGGGCGGGGGAGAAAAATCTCTCTACAACAAACAGCGCCAGAATAAGGAAAAGACAAAAATCCCAGATTCTCAACCTCCACTTGATAGCATTCATAAAGTCAATATAGGATAGGCTTAAATATAAAGGCTAAAATCATGAATTTATTAGAAGATTAAATAATCTGGGCAGTCAATAAATATTATAGGGCCATGTAATAGAATAACATCAAATAAAAAAAAGTTCTCTAAGTTAGAGTTCATAGAAATTAAAAATTCCTGCTGGCTTTACATAGAAGCCCTTAAGGACAAATAGTCACAAATACCTATCAGAAAAAGTACCACCATCTGAAAATGGTAAGAATGCTTAAAACTTAACAGTAAGAAGAAAGCACCCTTTTCAAAGCACACCGAATGTTTTAACACATGTTACAAAGATAAGTGTGTAAGTGCCCAATAAGCACAATTAAGTATTCAACATCATTTGTTATGCAAAAAAATCAAAATAAAGCTACAATGAGACATTTTATTCAACAACTGCAACGGTTAAAATAAAGACCAGTAATTTCAAATGCAGAGCTAATACAGAGCCTCTCCTGTGCTGATTGGAGACTACACTCGGGAAAATGTAGGCAGTGTTTTACAAAACCCACACAGATGGCTGGGCGGGGTAGTGTAAGCATTTAATTCCAGCACTTGGGAGGCAGAGGTAGGCCTATCTCTGTTAGTTCAAGGCCAGCCTGGTCTACAAGGTGAGTTCCAGGACAGCCCGGGCTGTTACATAGAAAAACCCTGTCTTCAAAAAACAAAAAACAAACCACACATATGTTCTACTCAATGATCATCATAATCAATCAGACGTAATATCTAAGTGAAGACCTATGACCACTAAAAAGGTTGCATTGCTAAGGACAACACATAGGATTAAAGAGAATGGAGGTGGAATAGGCCCAGAAGCACTCTCAAAAGCAACTCTCCCAGTATCAGAAGGTCCTATGCAAGAGGACCAGGACATCTGTGATGCTTACTGACGACGCATCCCAGACATAACTAGAAAGATACACCCATGCAATTTTGACAACATGGCCACCCAAACATGACCTCATAATGACAAAGACTGAGCCAACAAGACACACCCCAAGAGTAAGTGCTACACGTGGCTAACGGCTG